GACCTCAGCAGGTTACTCTGCTGATGGCCACTTACAAAGCACCAAACTCCAGAAAATCATCTTTTCTTGTTGCAATTCCCTTAGAACTGCACTTTCTGGTGCCCTAATTTGAGGGGTAGGAGGAGCCCACCCCCAAGCACAAGGCCTATTTTATTTTTGCACTACTTATTCCCCTGGACACTTCAATATACTCAGCAGATAATTAGAGTGTCTCATCACAAGAACAAATAACACCTGTAAGTAAAAACAGAAGCTAGAGAGCACATTGGAAGTTCCTGAAAAACTTTATCAAAATGTCCCTGTCTGATAACACCAACTACCCTAACTTAAAGGAACTTACTGTGTTTCGTTCCTATGAGAGGTGCCCTCATGCTCCGGAAACTTACTTTAAGAACAAGATAGACATTTGCCATTTATAAAGAGAAAAGCATTTTGATGTCTTTTATCCATTAAAAAGTCAAACTAATAAGTGATCACTATGACAAGGACATCTGTAGCTCTCTTTGATCTTTAAATACTTTCCACACCAGTATAGATTATGGAATGGGCAGTTAATGACTCTAACAGGAAGAAAAGGATTATCATAGAAACAGCACCAGTGCGCTAATGGCTACCAACTAGAATTGATTACTGAGGTAGACATATTTTTTTTAAGATTTATTTATTTATTTTATGCATGTAAGTATGCTGTAGCTGTCTTCAGACACACTAGAAGAGGGTGTCAGATCCCATTACCAGTGGTTGTGAGCCACCATCTGGTTGCTGGGAATTGATCTCAGGACCTCTGGAAAGGCAGTCAGTGTTCCTAACCACTAAACCATCTCTCCAACCCGAGGTAGGCACTTTTAAACTTTCATCTATCAATTTTCTTATATTTATAACAGCCTATAGAGCAATACATTTTGCTTCCACTTTACAAGTATAAAAAGTAAGTTGGAAAATATGTAAAGCTGTCCCATAGCTACAAGCCAAGGAAACAGAGGCCTGGACTCGTCAGTGTCCATCTGACTCCAAAAAAATTGTCTTTACATTGTGACTCTCATGGTATGAGCTTTCCTGGGTAGAGGTCACAAGACATATTTACTCCCCAGAAGAATAGCGGGCACTGACAGAGTAAAGAAGTGATTCTTGCTTGAGGCCAGCTTGGTGAACCAATGAGTTTATTGGGGATACTCAAAGGTATATTGGTGACTCAAAGTAGTAGTGCCACTGAAGTGTCCCCAGTCTCAGTCAACTTTCTACTTCCTCCAAGACCACATGTAGCAAGTGGGTGCTGGAGTGAAGACAAGTCTCAGGCAAGGATAAGGTTGCTCTCCTTCTTTCATTAGGGAACTAATAGCCTCTTACAAGTGTATCAAAGACCCAGTGTCCTCATGATGTTCTGCATATTTTCTTGCCTTGACTCTTTGGCCATGGTGTTTCATAGCTACCACAGCAACTATGCTTCATGACTACCTAAATGAATGTTCCACTGGGAGGGCACAGCTCCGACACAACAGCTCCAGACAGCTAACATTTTCCAGATCTTTTGACAAAAGCCGGTCCTTCCAACAGGCTTCCTTGGTTTCTTCCTGTTCACCTCCTTACTATCAAGACCCTGCATCAACATGGGCATTTTGTTTTGGTCCATACAACGCTAGGTCTCTATCTGTTGATTATGTGACAACAACTGATTTATAGCTTGCTGGTTGCATCTTTGATCTATCACATGGAAGTCAACATTTCCCATGTGATGTCTCTGAAACTTCCCATTTATTCTGAACCCTTTATAAAATAGATGACATTGTCCATATGGAATTCTTCTCTTTGCCCCTCCTGTGTTCCCCCACCTCCTTTTCCTTTTCTCACTCTGTTTCTTATCTCTGAAGATGGTAGAAATATTTTCTCCACTAATTATAAATATCAGGACAAAATCCCAAAAATCTCTGCCCCACAAATCTACTACTCACAAGCTTTATTAAGCTCTCCCAATATAGGAATCTCACTTATGACCTCCTTCCTTATCTCCTGCCAACTTATGCAGGTAGAAGTTTTCAGTGAAATTCCATTGCCTCACCTCCTAATCCACCCAAAATTGTCTCGGGGCCTCGTTTTCAGGTAGGATCACTGCTCCAATAAACCTGCCATAGAAGCATCTCAGGACTTTAACAGCCGAGCAGTCTTTTCAGTTACTTCTATCATGACATGGCTGATTGAAACCTAACCCCCTTGGTTTGCTTCAGAATTATAATATTCTATTTCTTTGTCTTAGCTTTATTTTAATGCTGTAATTTGGGTGATTATCCAACAGAATTGCCAGCAAGTATCTGGAAGATAACACTTTGAAAGGACCAAATGCTAATTCTCCTATAAGAAAATATTAATGTTCTTAAAGTTTCAAAATTATATTCACAGCAAAGATATCCAGCATACAATCCTCTGCTATAAAAAATGTTTCCAAGGCTTAAACATAATCTTGTTGTAAGAGATTTACAAATTGTGAATCTCACATGAAAATTTATTTACCACCCCGCAACATAAACCTCAACTCACATACACTTAATTCTACCCTAGGGATATCATTCACATTAGTTTGTCATTGATCAGTTGAGAAAGAACTGTTTCAGGACACATCCAAAAATAAAAATTACCAGAGTGTGTCCCAGAACCAACTGGTTTTGATGAAGTGGAAGGAAGGGTTCCACAAGTGAACCTAGAGTCAATTACACTCCTAACCCAGAGAGGACAGAGGCCATCAGTCACTGGAAATATGAAGCCTAAAATTGAGAGTATCTTTGTCACTTTCCAGATAACAGATTATCTTTTATATGCTATTCTGCTCCTTTAAGAGGAAGAAGCCTTGCATACATCTCCTGTGACTTTTCTTATTAACTCTTCTCAAATGTCTATAGTCAGTAAGAAAAAAAAGAAAACACCAAACTTCAGTTAGCAATCTTATCTCATCTAGCTTGCCAGCTCCATCTCTTCCCCCTAAGAAGGGTCTTCATTGCTGGTGCTTTTGTCTCCCTTGAAAATGAAATTCTTTTTCCCTAGATCCCAATTACTTTTCAGGTGTTTGTAAGTCATAAGCATTAGACTCTGTGCTCTGGTCAGACAAGCCTCTAGGAAGGAATAGCCCACAGGCCCAGAGCAAGATGGAAGCCTGATTCCAGTCTTTGAGTCATCTTATAGTCACTCACCAAGAGTCTAGCAAAGCCCCTGAGATCAGGACTGTACCATGTTTGATTTTAAAAAAAACTGCTAGTATTCAGCTGAATCACATCCACAACACTCAGAATTTCAGATAAAATCCTTGAGTTGATGATTTAAACTGTCATCTGTATATCTATCTCCTCACAGAACCCAGTGACCATACATACTTATAAAATTTATCAAGCTGAATTTTTAGTACCTACAGTATGTAATAGCAAGCCAGAATACAAAGCTGATCCCAAAGCAGAAAATTCCACTGAATTCATTCTATACTTACTTCTACAGTATAATAGAAAGGCTACAGGGATTAACATGAAAGACCAGTGCTCTGTTCCCCACTTTGCCACTAGCCAGATATGGGATTTCTCAAGCTCTATTCATGCATCTATAAATGTTACAGGTGAATCAGACAAGCTCCCAAACTCCTTTGAATGCTTTATATTCACCTCCACCAAGAATTTCCTGAGGGTCCAAGGTAGTCTAACAAATGTATATGTGTAGGTGTCCTATACACATATTTCTTCCTCCAATAGAAAAAAGCCAACATGTATGCAAAAGTGCGCCTCTTTTCCCAACAGATATTCCACTCACAGTGCTTCACTGTCAACATCATAAGTATAGGGGAAGCCACTCATGAATCCTGCCTATTGTGTGTCCCCAAAGGCAGCAAGCATGTCTTACAACAGCCACGGTTTGTTTCAGCATATTGCAAGATATGCATGCCTTAGATTAACTTCATGTGTTCTCTAAGGGTGATACACAAATAATACTAGTTGTGTTTCTTATGCAATCTGGAAAACAGTAAAAATATCTCTGTAGGCAAGACAACATATGGAAAAAAGGACAGCTGCACTTTCATGAAGGGCTTAGCCAAGTGGTTTAAGTGTGCCTGCTCCAAGAGATTTTTATTTATACCAAAGCATTCCTTTTGAACGGTTGTTATCTTGTCCTACTCTTTATCACAGTCTTAAAATGAAAATGTTTAACCTTCAAGCTAAATGCTATATTGCAGGCATATACATAATATTATGAATACGGCAGTAACATTTTGTATTAACACAGAGGATAAAAGCATTCTGTAGAAGAGATTGTAGCTCATTATTCCACAGGATAGTCATAAAATAGCTAGGGGAAAGTGATGGTTTGCTAACTTTTGGAAATGATAGGAAACTGTATGGTCTAGACATAACTTTCCTCAAAGTTGTCCCATCAATAATTTTGTAGAGACTTCAAACACAGAAATGACTGTGAATCTTGCACCTTATGCTGCACCTTCTACGTAAATAATAATGGCCACTGGACTCATTGTTTTCTTCTACTATTTGTTCAAACACAAACATGGGATCCACTGGAGAAACTGACCTGTATGCTCACTCACAGACTGCTCAAACTCACAGACTCAAAATCTCTCTTCTGCCTTCTACCTCTCTCTTCTAGTAAGGAATCTTTTTCTGCATCTCTGCCTACTTGCAGGGGTTGACCCTAATTCATTGCCTGACTAACAACTTCATTCTTTACTTGTGGACTTACTAAAGACAGAGGCCATAAGACGTAACCCCAGCTTCCGCTCTCAACCAGTAGACAAGTTGGGCCTTTAGAACAGCACTTGCTGTGAGACCCAGCAATATGCTCCAATCAGGGAAGGACATAGAACACCAACCAAGTCAATGACAACACACCACACTGTCTTAGGAAAATGATAGTTCTCCTCTCCCTGCTGACCCCTTATTCTGGGATCTCTAGAATGTTCTCAGAAAAATCTCTCATTTTTGTTCTCTTACTAGGATAATGATGCTATAGGTCATTACCATGAGGGTGGAGTAGGTGTAGGGATAGTGATAGGCCAGATAGCAGGCATCTTCATCGTGTGGGAAGGTAACAGCAAACGTGAGGGTGTAATAGCGCTTCCCAGATGCTCCATCCATGGTTGCTGCATTCTGACGGTAGTGATTTCTAAAAAACAGAAAAGGACAGGATGAGAATGAATGAAGTTGAGGAAGGGGTGAGGCTGCAGAGGAGGATGGGGAGGCCCCAGAGTTCTAAATGTCAGAACTCTCCTGTGCTACATATTGGCAAAAGAACCGTAACTCGGTAATGAAAACCACTTTTGTGGGTAAAACTTAGAAAGTAAAGAAAGAGACAATGGAATTCACTGCCAGCTCCTGTATCAGTTCAGTCACACGTAAGTTTGACCCAGCATCTCCCATTTGTGGTATACATATTGTGACTTCCCTTGTTTAACTGCAACTACAGATGAGCACTACCTAACCATTGCACTGAGAACAAGGATGATGTAAGCCACTTCTGTTTCATACTGTCCAAATTTTGCTCCCCTATCCTTATCACTCGACACAACCATATAAAATACAGCTCATCCCTTTAATTCTGTTATAGTTTGATATGTTATGTTCATAAACTGTAGTTTTGCTGCACATGACCCACCCTCTACCTCTGATGTTCTTCCTGACCCCTCTTCTGTGTTGTTTCCTGTGCTTTTGGAGGGGATGATGTTGATATCCCACTCAGGGCTGAACACATAATAATTTAGTCTTGGCACTTTGATTACTTAGGAGTCTCTGTATTAACTGCCTCCTGCTATAAGAAGCTTCAATGATGAAGGTATAACACAGCACTAATCTACGGATATCAACATGCAGCTCATACCCTTTGCTTCTGACAAATGGATTTATTAGCTATCGCTACTAAGCACTGAATTCCGTCTCAAGATTCACATATGTCCTCTTTGTCACTGCTGTAATAACTCATCCTGTGAATTAAAAAAAAAATGGAAGCTTAGAAGGACTAGTTGACCATAAAGCAAGGAAATGCTGGATACAGGATTTGAACCCTGATTTCTCTAGCTGAAATGACTGTTCTTTCACTGGACAATAAGTTCTTTCCAAAGGAATGACTTTGTCATCCCAAAGGTGACTTAGCTTCCGAAAGCTTGAGGGTGCACATTTTCCTTTGTCAAAGATGAAGGACCAATTCTGATACTTCCGAGAACAGTATCAAAGTAGATTGCACCCAGAAGTACATTCCATGCAATGTTTTCTGTACACACTGCCAGTTACACTCTCATTTTGCCTGTTGATGTTGAGACAGCTGTACAGGCTTTTCTGTGAAATGTTATCATCCAGGCTGCAGGATAATGTAAAATGCACACAACACCACAGGCACTTCTACCTTTGGCTCAACATTAGCTTTCTGGCTCATTGTGAGGTTTGGGGATTTGGGGTGAGGGAGAAGGAAAGGAGAAAGAATAAATAGATTATTGTTTGTATGTTCTTGCAAAACATAAAAAAATGGATATTCTTTTCTTCTTTTAACTTCATTCTTACTCTCCTTACCACAACTAACTGCAAAAGGCAGTTGTATAGGAAAAGAACTAATAGCATGCCACCATACTTCCTGTGCTCCTTGTAATGTTTCAATGCTTATAAAACAAGGGGTATGTGTATGAGAGGTTGTCAATGCTTCCAACGACTACTGCCCAACTTACTTTGCTTGCTTCAGCTTCTGTTCACATAGCAACCTAGAGTCATTCACTCTGGGAAGGGGGAAGAGAATAAGCCCATAACAACACTAGTTCAAAATAACTGTCCCATCCAGCTTCTGAATCACACTAACAGAGTCTATTTCCCATGTGCTTATAGAAATAGCTTCAAAAGAGTATCTTCCCCCATGCTGTTAGCTGGGTCTTCATATCTAGCTGTATCTATTTTTTCCAGATTTCCCCAAAGTTTTAAAGTATCTCCAAACGCTAAGACTCTGGTTATTAGAAAGTATGCAAAGAGCAGATGGCCGCCCAGAAGGCATGAGAGGCACTTGTGTTCTGTCTTTATTTGCTTTCCGATTGCACTTGCAAAGGCTCCAATGAAAAAACACATTTTCTTTATACTTAGCTGAATAGCAAACAGGTACTGGTCAGTTACAGCCCCTAACCAAGAGAAATGAGGCAGGGACACTGCATTAAAGTATGAATTAGTCTCCAATCTATAAACAGTACAAATATAAATACACACATGCACACATATTCATGAATATGAAGACAAGTATAAACATCATCAAATGTCCACTGTCACCAGATTCTTCTCCTATGAACAGCAGAAACAGAGTCACCATCTTGACTTGAGATAAGAGTCAGTTGTAGTGGTCTTATTTGGTAATGGCCTTGCTTTCTTATAGGTCTGCCCATGAAGTCTGGAGAGTAGTAGTTACATGTATCATTAAACTCTGATACTCTGTATGTTTCCCAGTGTACACTGAAGTCATATAACAAGGATACTTACCCATCACCATGTCAGCCTTGCTCTACTCTGCTACATAAAGCAACAAAGAGGGGGCAATGAAATCTCTGTATTTGTCCTTAGGTTCTTCCCCACTGAAACCACCCTGGGCTCCACGAAAAGACCAGTTCTAGGGGAATGGAAAAAGAAATAGCATGGGCCCAAAATTTTAAAATTCCATGGTCCCTGTGATAGAGGAGAATGAATTCAGATAGTAGTTTTGATTATATGTTAAATTTTCTCACACATGTGTGTATGTACACACACACACAAACACACACATGAAGATACACATCTCTCATAATATACCTCATAGCCTGAAGGTATCAACTCCTTCCCTGCAAGCTGGCCTTTCCCAAGATGCTTGTACCCTACTAGGAGTTCAGGAAATTGGAAACTAAACAACAGCTTGTAGGGAGTAAAATTCAGCTGAAGAAAGTTGTTTTGCAACTTCTAATGATGGGTTTAAATTCTGGAGGACTCTAAAACAAATGTCAGACTTCATCACTGGATACTTTTCTGATAAACACACTATAGGAGGAGGCAATGCCCACAGACAACATTTCTCAGAGGCCTTTGACAAATGTCTAGTAAGTCTCTAAACTGAAATAAGGCTTTCTGATTTGATTTTTCCAATTAGTTGTCTTTGTTTTCTCAATTGCAGTGTGAACATGCTGAAGGATGTCTTCAGGGTGGTAACAGTCATCCTTCCTACATTAGCTGCTTCCTTCCTATGTTACAAGGACTTAGAAAATCTTTGTCATCATCTTCAGTTACCGTGTTTCCTTCTCTTAGCTTAAATGTTTGCCCTTCAAAGAATTATTCTACAATATTGTACATAGCTCTTTGACACTTGTATATTCCTCACTGCTGATACCTATCAAAAGGACCAACTATATTCCTTTCTGGGACACTGTGCTTGGTTTGTGTGCCGTGCCTAGACATTGGCAACTCTTCAGTTGAAGTTTATAGAATAAATAGAGCTAAGGTTCCCTGAACAATAATTAAGATGCTTCATCTATTTTGTGTCAATCTTAATATTACCCTTCCAGAGGAAATATCTTTTTTACACATTCTATAGGTGGAAACATTAGGGCTCATTGTTGTGAAGTATCTTGAACAATTCCACACAAGCAGTATTCAGTGTGGACTTAGCTATGAAACTAAGATTGTTAACATTATATCACTTCTCTCTTAGAAATGTACATAGTGACAAGAGAAATTTTGTTCAGTTCAGCAAGTAAGAATCTGTGATCAGTATACACCAGGAGTGCTAGAAACTTAGAGACTAAAACAAAGAGGAATATCAAACAGTCCAGGTGAGGGCTAGTGAAGATGAGATCTATACTATGACTCTATCACCAATACTCAGTTGATTTAAGATGGTTCTAGTAATTGTTACTAAAACTTACTAACGTTAATTGAATACCTACAGCATTCAAGTCTTTGGCTTACTGTGTGTTCTATTGCATTTCCTTTCATCTTCAGAGCTCCTTTGTGGAGGCAGATGCCACTTTTATCCTTATTTTATAGACAAAGAAACTAAGATTGAGAAAAGTTGGAGTAATTTGTCAGATGTCTTTCTGGTGAAGGGATGGCAGAAATTTACTCACAAGAACAATTTTCTCTTGGAAACATCTCTTCTGGGTGAAAAAACAAAACAAAAAACAAAAAAAAACGAAGAAGCCTGGCCACTGGTATGCTCTCAGATGGGCTGGAAACCCTAGACAGGTCATCTTGGGACAAAGATGTCCTGAGCTACACAGACCCAGCTGCTCCACGGTAAAAGCTCACCCTTCCCTGAACCATTCATCTTCAGAAGGATTCATACCTTTGTAACCATAAAACCTTCAATGAAACAAGAAGCAAAGTACACAAGGCAGTTACAAATTACATCCATTTCCACTTATGCTCAGAAATGTTCCAGGAAGTTGAATGTCGTTACTATTGTTCACTGTGTGTACTACACTCGCCGACACTAAAGTTACGTGTGAATTAGGTAATCTCACACTGATGATGGCTCTTTAACAAGGGTACATCATTTGACTTAATGGAATCTAATAAGGCACAGCAGCTGACTCGCTGGGCTTCCCCGTGCCTGCAGCAGCCCTAATATTCTATATAGCACCAAATCTCTCTCCTGAGATTCCTCAGAAGGATGGATGATGGCAGCGCTCTTGTATGGCATTCATCTTCATGAATGAGCTGTTCCATCTCCTCTCATGAGCAGAGATAAATGTCAGAAGAGAGCAGCTGCAGTGTATTACATGGCCACTCAGCACCTGCAGCTTCCCTCCCTCTGCCCTTCAACATGGAGATTGCTTTAGACCAGAGCTGGGAGAGGATTGGGAAAGGTGTGAAGCCGCAAGTCAGAAGGAGAAGTGGGCCACAGGAAAGTAAATAAAACAAATCAATGTGCCCTTGCTTACTTTATGACGGGCACAGAAAAATGAGTTCACCCGTTTTGTTCTTCAGTCTCCAGAATAAAGGGGGTAATTTGTAACCTGGGAAAATGACCAAATTGTGCACACAGAGACAATATTAAAAGCTTTTCCTTGAACATATTATTTATCTAGGTAATAAAAATATTAAAATACCTACTGTTTTATGTGGGGATTGACCTGACTGGCACCTGCAGTACATGTCAATCATATACAGTGAATAATTACAAAACAAGTTTGATTGAGGCCAGTGAAATCAAACCCTCTTCCCTGTTTTACTCCAGAGAGAGATTATAGAAAGCACATTAAATTCAATATCGGCTGTTTCATGACATGGAGCTCACCATCATAGCTTCAGCAAAGGTTTGCAGGGAGTAGGGAAGAAAAGACTTGCCCTTCCCTGTCTTTTCTATTAGCTTCTGGCAAAGTATTTAAGGATCCCCGAAGTATATGAGGCTCCATTCCTTCCAGGAGTTCTTTTTCTTTCACATTTGTATTTAACTACCCAGATACCACATTCTTACTTCTCCTTACATTGAGTATCCTGACACTAACTCTGGGAATTTAATGCCACAAGGATAACAGAACATCTGAGTTTATACTAACATAGAGAACATTAGGAAACAAGGAGGTAAGATTCCCCTTGACTAATAATCCAGAGAGAATAAATGCAGGGATGAAACAAAGAAATCCTCTAGAGCAGATCCAATCACAGATTGTGAAGGGAAACAAGGTAAAAGATGTTGTACAGTAAAGTATTCCATAATAGACCGAGATGTTGTAATCTGTGGGTGAATAGAGATTACACATATCTGTCCTGTTGTTACATCACATTATTGGTAATGTGTTAATACAATGTGAATAATTGTAAAACAAACTGTATCACAATGTAGCAACCTTATCCATTCATCTCTGTTATATTCATGGCTGGAATATGAAAAATGAATTACATTATACATGCACGGTTTGCATTTTATCCCTCCGTTACTCCTTAATTCACATAACAATTGTCTTGTTAATGAATCTAAAAGCTATTAACAGTGGCGTCCCTTAGGCCTGGGTGGTGTTTTTGGATGTGTGTCTTCATCTTTCTCCTCTGAGGAGATACCTGCCTCCCCTTGAGTTTCTTTCTTACTCCCAAGTTCAAAAAAGAGTATATGACTTGTGAGCTCCACTTCACTGATTTAATCATGCAAGACCTTATGTTTGTGGTAACCTCAAGTTCCAGACCCAAGCAAGTTTTCCATTAAATTTTGTACATATATTGACACTATTTTCAAAGGAAATTAAAAGATATTCCTGGTACAATAAAAATTGGATTTCATTTATGTCTCCTGCCTTTGTGAACCCTACAACCCTGAGGTGATGTTTAGCCTACATCTCAGTGTACCAGAAAAAAGAGTCCTAGGGGTTCTAAGATAAGTAGGCCAGGAAGTAATTGCCATTTCGGTGAGTGGAAATCCAACAAAGTTGTAAGGTTTTGTTATTCTTCTAAAGAATATACAAAAATGCTACTTGGGTTCATATCTTGATCCATCAAGGACAGAAGCTGCCATCTGCCTTGCTGCATCATGTTAATCAGCTCCTCTCTGTGCTTTGTGAGCTGCTCTTATCTCTATGGTGATTTCTGCTTTTATCCAAACAGAAGAATAGGACCTCTAACCTTTCCTGTCAATACCATCCCCAGAGCTCAAAGCAGAGAGATGTTAAGTGTATACCTTCCTTCTCTGAGTCTTTGATAATCATCCCAAATTCTAGATTATCTGCTAGTAGTATGTTAGGGACCTGTTATTATCTTAGAAATGTGAGAGTTACTTTAGCAGAGAAACAAAAGTAGAAGCCTGTTGATTTTTATGAGATCTAGCAATAAACTAACAAGGTATCATATAAAATCTGCCTATCCTAACATTCCTTAGCCCTTGTTTGTGTATTTGAATTTTATTTTCCATATAAGAAAGATATGCATGTGCATGTAAATAAACCCATTTATTTCATTAAGGATATAGGTATTTTAAGTTTTCATCACATTTTTGGGGGGAGTAAACTGATAAAACTTGTCTATTGATTGAAGAATGAACATGAATAATTCAATCCCTCCCTCCTTTGTACACAAAACTATCTTACTACAGAAGAAGGCTTCCATATGTAGATTTGTCATATAGTCATGCCTCTATGACCTTGAAAAGTGAAGGTTGTATGCACAGGGAGAGAACATAGAACCCTAGACTTCCTGTTCACTGGGTCCTGAAAAACTAAGGTTTGAAGCAGTAACCACAACCTCAGCATGTACAACTTCTAAGACCTGGCCAAAAAGACTTCCCAAGTTTTCACAGTGGTATGTGAAGAGAAACTAATCATATTTCAATACTTCCAATGTTACTCGAGGGACTAAAGTGAGTTCCATTTAACCTAAAATGTCTCAGGACAAGCAGTGACAACAAGTTGGCAGACAAACAGGTTGTGGATATTTGCAAGAACAACAGAAAACAAATTTAAAAATTGAGGGTAAATATCTACACAGATCAAATGAAGCCATGTGTGTTCTAACATACTTGTAGTAACAAATTTCAGAGCCTGTCCGTATCCAGGCAGGTCGGCCAAGAAGAGCCTCTTTCACAGAATACATCGTCGGCTGCATCCCTGTGAAATAAAAGCAAGGCTTAATACACAAGAAAAGAAAAAGAGCCTCAAATGAAGAATACAATAATAGGCTGGATGATGAGCCCCTAAAGACACTCAGTTCTTGACCCCTCAAAGCTATACTCTGAATGTTCACTATATATTGTCAAGGAGACTTTGCAAATATAATTAAACTTAGATATTAAGCCAGACTGATGATCCATGTGGGTCTTGAATGTAACTACCAATGTCTTTATGAGGAGGACGCAAAGGGAGATTTGACTAAAGAAGAGAAGCAATGTCACTGGAGACATTACAGGTGCTGTACTGCCAGTTTTACAGAGGAAGGTGCCATGGACCAAGGAATGCAAGGAAATGGCTCTTGAATTAGGAGAACAACATCCATTCTCCCATTCAGTCTCCACAGAGAACACAACATACACTTGAACCCCCATTTTTTAAAACATGAATGCAAGAGTTAAGGCTCACATTTTATCTTTCTATAGGCATGAGTGTCTGTCTGTCCTAGGCAATATGGAATAGAGACATGGCCTGAAGTAGAATGAAATAAAGGTCACAGTCATAGTTATTCTTCATTCAAAACCATCAAATACATTAGTACTTGAACTATCCCAAATAGATCGTAGTGATTTAAGCATTTTCCAGAATTTTCTGAGTACATAAAGGAGTGCTCGGGTCGATTTTGCAGTTCTCCTGCCTTACTGCAAACAGGCCAGTATATATATTTACTCTTGTAATATTTAGAAGGTGGAAAACAGAAGCAATCACCTTCCAGACTCCAGAGTTCATTGTGTATTATACTTCAGAATGTACTGCAATATTGTGTGCACTCGTCACATTGTTTAGGAGGGTAAGAGTCCCTCACTGCCCTTCCATATTTGCACTATGCTCTCAATTGGCCATTGTCTTGGCAGACTGGTAAGCAAAGCATACCGTCCTCAACCTTCTGGGACTTCAGGGAGACTTCTGATAATAATACAAACAACCAGGAAGTGACTCGTTCATGATATAGACAGAAATCCCCTGATCCCAAAGAGCTCATACCATAGTTGAACTGGCTGTTGGGTTTCTCACAATTGATGATGTTGAACCGATAAGGGACAGCGGCCCTCATGCCGCTCACCTTGAAGTAGAACCACTGCTGGTGCTGGGAACTATTCACATCAGCATTGACCAACAAGTCATACTCAAACCTGCAGTCAGGAATGAGATAATGGGTAGAGTCACTCTTCCAAAGGAAGTGATTTTGTTTTGTCATACTTCATGTACACACTCCAATTCCTGACCCCAGAGAAAAGACATCTGTCTTAGTTAAGATTGCTATTACTCTGATGAAATACCATGGCCAGTACAAGTTCAGGAGGAAAGGGTTTATTTGTCTTACATTTTCACATTGTAGTCCATCACTGAAGGAAGTCAGGACCAGAGCTCAAACAGGATAGAAACCTGAAGGCAGGAGCTGATGCAGAGGGCATGAAGGAGTGCTGCTTGCTGAATTGTTCATCCTGACTTTCTCAGCCTGGCTTTTTATATAACCCAGGATCACCTGTCCAGTGATGGTACCAACAACAATGGCCCTCCCCCATCAATCACTAATTAAAAAGATGTCCTACAGCCAGAATTTATGGAGGTATTCTCTCAACTGAGATTTCTTCCTTTCAGATAACTCCAGATTGTGTCAAGTTGCCAAAAACCAAGCCAATATAATACTGCTTAGGTATAATTATGAAAGAATAGAACTTGATACAAGATATAAGAATAGAGCAGAGTTAACTTATGTAAACCTGCCTTTTAACCTGTGGCTGGCAAGAGTATGACAATGAGCTTACCATGCAATGATGCATACTTCACTGGGTGGGTAAATCCGGCCTACAAGCAATTCTATGACCTGAATCATCCACTGTCCCCACAGTGCTCACCCAAAAATGTGGTCATTAAAAGTTTTATTAGGATGTTTATTTTTCCCTATTTATTCTGCTCTGACTACAGCTGATTGATTCATTTATGATTCAGTTCTCTGATCAAAGGTAAATCTATAAAGAATACTAGGCATGGCAGTAAATTAGGCAGATTCTGGACTGAAAACTGTCCACCTAGGAAACTCTTTAGTAACTCTTACTTCCTAGGTCCTTTGAATTTGACTTTAGAAATAAGAAATACTGTAAACAGTGTGTGATTCCCTTTCTTTAGAACCTTAATTCCTCATTTGGTTCTCTTTCTCTCTCCTTTCTCTCCTTCCTTCCTTCCATATTTAAATCTATATTAATCTTTTCCTAACAAAATTCATTATTGCTATGAGAAAGGAAAAAACAAACACAAGCCATAAGACTAAGCAGAAGCTGAGCTGAGAGTGGAGAAGTAGGCTAGAATGGAACTATGACATGCTTGTCTTTTCTTTCCATAGTTCAAGAAGCTCAACTTTTCTTATGTGCCAGGTTTTGTTGAAGTAGTCCATGTACAAAACTAAAGCCAAAAGAAAAATATCATATATAAGTCTTTTCCCCAAAAAAAAATTACCTTCAAAAATAACATGTTAAATTGGTGCTACACTAAGTTCTAAGCTCATCATGGTAAGCATGTATCTCTAGATAAAAGCATGTCCACTGAGTGCTTACCATGTGCTGAGAGCTACTCAGAGAGTTTGATGAACATGAATTAAGTCTGATAAAAAAAAATCTACAAAGTAGGTATTACTGCTATCCTCATTTTGCAGCTGAGAAAAGAAAGACATGAAGCAAGGCAGGCTACTCCTAGCCCACCTAGAAGGTGGAGGCAGCCCTGGTTGTTTCATTCCAACATGTGTGGCTACTTATACTGTCACTAACCACTTGATATGTCAGAAGCCAGCCATAGACGGATTATGTAACTAGTAAGTCTATTCTACTCCTCTATGGGAAAATTGTGTTACATCAAGAGACTGTGAAAAATTATTCTTTCACTGCAACTGAAAAGGGATCATCTCTTTCATTCTGGTTTTGTGCATCCTTAGTCTGTCCTTGCCTGTGCAGTCATTTTCTATTAGTGAAAGCTCTTTGGTGGCTTTCGACAGGGATACATACATGGTCCCTGGAATGAAAGATGGAGATGCAAAATTGTTGCCTCCTAAATACAACCATGTGGAATAAATAGTTATGGGGAAGAGAAGGAATAGGAAATGTCATGCACTCTTCTGTGTCCACAGCGCTAGCCTTCGAATAATAGAAGCATACACATGCACTGAGAGAAGTTTCTTAAACTGAAATATGGAAGTAAAGAATATAGAAATAACTTATATTCATGGATGTAGTGAACAGTTTACCTTGCTAAGGCATCAGCCAATAGGTTCCCTCATTGTCTTTTGACAAATGACTCAGACAGGAAAACTTTTAATACTAGGTAATGTTTGCCAATTTTCATGGTAAAGATACTCTTAAGATGACTGGTTTGTGCTTTGAGCTACCAAAACGAACAGGTAATGGCAAGAAATGGGCAGCACCTGCTCTTCTATACTGCCAGGAGCCCCAACTGTGGCTGTTCTTACTTACTCACGCACTTGGATGGCTTTACGAAGATTTCCTGATTCAAACTCCGAGTAGAATCTTAAGCAATTGGAAATGCTCCCTTGCAAAGGCCTATAAGAAAAAAAAAGGGAATGTGTGAACATTTCATATTGCTGTGTTTGGACACAGATTTATACTCCTTAAGAGTAAGATATCTCTTAGAGAATTTGAAACAGAATAGTCAATGTGCTGGTTTCAGAAGCAGAAGTGGATTCCTAATATGGAACACTCCTATTAACATATCAGCATAACTAACAGAATTCTCCTTGCTTTCCATTCCATGAATGTTCAAGACCACGTACCAGGGCTCGTCTAAATTGAAGACAACTTTGTTTATAACATCACTTGGCTGGAGGAACCTCCGGACATCCTCAAGTATCTTGATCCTTGTAAATAAAATTGGAAACAATGTAAGTGTTGGTGCCTGCTCTTTATCCCAGCTCAGAAATCCTTAACGAAACACAGAAGATAAGCACTTAACAGTTCCTCCATTTTACATTCATTACATTTTTTCCTCAATCTTAAAGCATAAAAATACACGATCAGTAGAAACAGAAGGTGGAGTGATAGGTGTTCTTTAAGGTATTCATGACTTAAACACAGTCCTCAAGAGAATCTGGACTAGGGTACTATGGTGTTTCTGTCTATAGAATTAAAAATTCCTATGCACTGAGAGAGCATTGGGGGAGAAATTACCACTATTGACTAATAGCAGTTTTGCAGCTTGGATGGCTCCAGCAAAGCATTCTAGTTTGTATTTATTCTGTATATTTGTATTCCTCAGACTCTGCCTGTTGTAGAAGACTGAGTTCAGTCTTCTGTTGGAGTGAAAAAAAAAGTGTCTGCGAGATTTAAAAAAGAGAGAGGAAGAAAGTTTAAGAGGAATTTATAATCCCTCTTCACATTTTCAATGAGTTTTGTTGATATCGGTAAGAGAATTGTGAAGGTGAGGTGGACCCAAAGCCCGGACTGAGAAGCAAGAGGTGATATACCAGAGACAGGGACCGACCACCCATGAGGTTGTAAGTATGAGTATCCTAGGTATAGTACTCATGGTGAGATAAGATCAAACAAGAATCCAAGTTGGAACAGTTCTTGGGACCTACTGTCAAAAGATTAATTTGCTGAAGACATGAAATTTAAAATAAAGAAACATTCTGGTCTGCATATTTGACTCTACTGGCTCAAGATATGTATAGCAATCTCCCTCTCAGGAGAAATATCTTTTATCAGATTTCATTTTCATCTCACTATGCTGATCCAAGGACAATGCAGTCTTTCTTGAAATATGGGAATAATCTATCACTTAGGATTTCTGCCCTGGAGAATATGTGAGATGGTTTTTCATTCTGTCCTTGGTGTTATAGGAAAATCTCTCTCCAAATCCTAGGGCTATGAAAAAGCATAGTACTTTTCTTTATCAGCAAGAAACCAAACACCAATTTGTAATAAAAAAAGAAAACAGATCTCAAATAATCACCTTCTTATTTTTCTAAAAAGATTCCTTTTAGGATAGGTTCCAGAATATGGAGACACTAGATGATGCCCCCTGTTGTGCTAGTTTGCCATGGATATGATGCCATGGTTTATATTAGAACCATCCAAGGAAGTCTTTTCCCAGAATTACATGCCTACTACTATCTAATACTTGGATTATAAAATCTCCAATGTAGAGGCAAGATTATATGTCTCCAAAGGTATTTAGGGTACTCTAGGCTAGTTCTCACTTCCCTACAAACAGCAGATTATCTGTATAAACCACTCCATTTGTGAAAGTATTTAGAAGAGAAAATCTTCAAACTCCAAGTCAGTAAAACCCTCACCTCTGTATTCCCAGTTTGCGATCAAGCATGGGTTGGGCAGTGGGAGGTGAACAGTGCCCCCAGAGATCAGGAAATGCCATTGTCTTGAATCCCACAACAGATCTCGTCCGTGTAGCATTAGCCATATAAAGATGAGGATCATGGAAAGGTGTGTGCTTGGGATGTGTGTGCAGAAGCTTCTCTGTTCCTTCATTGCTTTCTTCTGACTTAGTAGAGTTCGAAAATGAGGCAGTTATCCTTGGGCAAGAAATTGCTTCAATGTCCCAAGCAGCCTGTTCTGAAGGAGGCTGAATCTCAGAGGTATCATGTCCAGAAGAAGCTCTCCCCAAACCGTTTTGTTGTATGCTTTGGTTCACGTTTGTTGCAGATCTTAGTTTTGAGGATGGCTGTACATTGGACTTCCCTGTCTTCACCATGTGCAGAATGGATGTGTGGACTGAGTCTTCTCTTTCTTGTTCCCAGGAGTTGTGCTCCCTGATTAAACAGTGTTGTCTTAGAGAGGCAGCACTTGGAATGTGGTGGTGATTGGCATGCAGATTGTCTTTGATGTTTAAATCATCTCCATATTTGGGTTCTAGTTCCTTCAAATTCAAAGTAGAAATTGTGTATTAATATGTCCTTCCAGATAGAGAATACAATTCTACTCCTATGCTAGCTGTCTGGAACCAAAGCTATGTGTGATCCTTGTGATTTAGGAGCTTACTCAGAGAGTCAACCAATGGAAATAAACTAAGCCTTAAGAGTAAACAAACACTAGAATCCCATAAAAGTCACTCTCAGAAGAAGCTTTGAATGAGTCTAGAATAATTCTATATGTTATATAAATTTTTGCAACCTCCACTACCCCCCCCCACTCCATTCAATTACAGTCTAACTGAACAACTTCATTTATAGGGGCCTTGGTGACACGTAAAGAATAGGCTTTCACTGTGCCCCAGGCAGTGCCTTTGATTTAAAGACAGTTTTTTAGTCTGTACACTGAAGTGAAACTTTCTTCACTGAAATTTTGAACACTGGTCCTCTTGTATTTTCTAGAGTTAAATAGAATATATCAGCTACTCTCTACATGTGCCTCTCTATGCCCTTTGATATGGCTGGGCTCATAATTTGTTAAAAAAAAATCAAGAGAATTATAGAGATCAAAGGGCCGGTCTGAGTCTCAATATTAGCACCAGCAGCATACTGAGTTAGCTAGCATCACTAGATCTAAGGTGTTCATTTTGCCTTTACTAATACAACAGCATGGATTCTGGATGGTTACCTTTAACAATCCATCTATAGTGATGACTTTCTCAATTTGTCAAAAGATCACCTAAATTACCCAGAATTTTCATTTGGTCCTTAGTGCAGAGCCAGGACTCAATGCCAACCCAGCAGGCCACAGTAATATGTAATGTCATTCTGATTCTATCCTTGGTGCAGAGTATCAGAACTGATGGTCCTTGAGATCATTCTGGTCTCCCTACTTTTTTCCTTCTGTTTTTCTCTCAGAAAGATCTGGGAACAATGGTAATGATGAACAATGTGATTAATATAGACACCTCTGTTTGGCTTCCCAGGTTGTTCAAAGATCTCACCATAAATTACCAAGAAGTTGATTACAGCCTGTGCTTACCTCAAAGTTACAGGAGAGTTCAAGACACATTGCATCATACTGTGCAAGATCCTCCTCAGGTAGCTCACGACCAGGTTTAGAACTAAGTTTGCTCATATCAGTTTCCAAGTCATCATCCTATAGCAGAAGAAGGAATGGATCACAGTCAAGAAATCCACCCTGTACGGTCTCAAGACAAGATACATATCTGATTCTTTACCAGGCGAGGTATATTAGTTCTTTATCTTTAGAATATGATGCTAGCCCAGCTAGAAAAAGAACTTAATATACTAGGCTATATTTCTAAACATAAAGAAAAAGTATATAAAGCTTTTCTTAAAGCATGGATGCAAATGTTCATTAGCCTCATCAGAAATTAATATGCAATGAACTATGTAAGTACTAAAACATGCAATAAGAGAAATTCTTTGTCTTGTTCATAAATGACATGATTGCTGTTATCATCCCTTTTGCCTGGCTGTCTTTGCTGTTTGGGTATTTCGCCTGCGCAAATATTTAATGAGCACTTTCCATGAGCAAGTGTTTTTGTAGATACTCAAAGACTTATTGATGTTAGAATACAGGTCCATGGTCCAGTGGGATCCGTCTTCTAGTAAGAAAACTGAGACAGAAATGAAGTGGGAACACGGTTATTTCTAGCAATGGTAAATGTCCTGGAAGTGCTGGCGGATGGCATTAACACTAAATGGAGTGTGGGTATCTGTTCAGACTGAATGATCTGAGAAGCCACACAAAGAAAGTCACTGTGATGTAATGAAACCTAGAAGACACAGTGAGCAACATATAGAGAAAAATGATTCTTGCAAAAGTTTGAATTTGCTTATAGAAAGAAGATGCCAGGGGCATGGAGCAGAAGAGGAAGATCACGAGATGGGAGACAAGACAGCAGAGGACCATGATAGATGTATGAAGTTTCTGGAGACAGTCAATTCTGCTGTGCCTGTGTCTCTATGTAAAGTTAAAAGCTCAAAGTGTTCCTAAATCTCTCTTCATGGAACAAATCATGTGAGTAATTACACTTTTCTTGTAGATCAGCATTATGTGATAGCTTCAAAGGTGAGGCTGACTCTCTCTACTCTGAAAACATTTGTGTTTTCCAAGGGTTATGGAGTCTTACAGATACAATATACCCAGGATGATACTGTTCAAACTATGCCATTCCATACTCCGGGTAGATCAAATTTCCTTACTAAAATAGGGAACAAATACCTACCACAAGCTCTAGAATCACAATTGGAGAGATAAGGAAAACCTGTCAGTCTTGAGAGACCTAACTTAAAGAATTATGGGAAATAAATGCTTATATTTCTGAACCAGTGGAAAAAGAAGAAAATCTGATGTTCCATCCATTTTATATAATTTTTCTACAAACTCAGATGAAAAAGAAAAGCAAATCCCCTGAGTTCAACTTCATAATACATTCCGGCACCATTCAGGCAGTCCTCCGTACCCACTACTCTCATCTGTACAGGCTTTTTCTGTCAGTTCTGCTCCCTACCCTGAGCTGTGGCCCAGGGTGGTTCCATCAAGAACAGAACATGGCTGGCCATTTGGAAGACCATCCCTACCAATGAATAAGGCTGTTTCTTGAGTGAGAAGTGTCATGTAGGCCATAGGTGGCAGCATTGTTCATTCCACATATTGTCATTGACTCAAGCAACCATACAGCAGGGGTTAGCAAATTGTGGTCCACTTCTTTTCTTTGTAAATAAGGCTTTATTAGGGCACAGTCTCTGTGGTTCATCTATATGTCATCAGTGACTGATTTCTTTATATATCAGCAAAGTTGGATTGATGTGAGAAAACTATTTCTGTCCTACAAAGACACAAATCTGAGCCTGAAGATACAACTCAGTGGTTCATAACACTTACTACATAAGTATGAGGACCTGGGTTCAGGTTCTAACACCCATGTAAAAAGCTGACAAGGTCACGTGTGCCTGTTACTCCAATGATGTAGGAGCCAGAGATAGAAGAATGAATCACTGGGGCTTATTGTCTGCCAGCTCAGCTCCAGACAGTAAGAAAGCATGTCTTAATGGAATATGGCAAAGAATAGTAGATCAGGGGACCTATCATTCTCCTCTAGTCTCCATAAGCACATGCAACCACACACTTCCATACATGTGTGTGCATGTATGTGTGTGTGTATGTGTGTGTATGCATAAACCACACAAACATGTGCATACATGTGCAAACACACAAATGCAAACATACAAAGACCCTGTGGCTTGGTCTCTGTATTTCCCAGGGCCCTCATCACATCTTAAAAGACTATGCTCATCTATGGATGAACCTGCTACTGTGCTCTCATATTATCTAGAGTCCTGATAGCCTAGATAATGCGTTCTGACCCTTCCTCCTTTAACTGGACCTTGTTACCACCATCACTGCCTTTATTCACACTTGCTTGTTCAAACCATAGAATTCTAATTTGCTCTTTGGTTTATGTGAATACTGACAATAAAAATAAACATCCTGTTTGGTTTTGTATCATATAACCCTTCCTCAGAACTTAGCTTGTTGTACATGGGTCATACCAAAAACAAAACAAAACAAAAAAAACCAAAAAAACCTGAAAGAAAGAAAAGAAATTCAAAAAGGAAGAAGTGGGGAGAAGAATGCAAGTGCACTTTATGCATGCTCTTCTCCCACAGTTTGCTCAAATCTACTGCACAGATGAAAACACAGCCACCATCTTTTCTTCATGTGCCATTCCTCTTTTCCTATGTTGACTCTGGAGGTTTTTTCTAAGCAAGTCAGAACATTCAACTCCTCAGACTTCCTTCTCACAGGACTTTATTTTAATATATTTACTCAGATGTAGGTCACATCTATCTGTAATTTTCAAATGAGAATGTTACATGCTAAAGGCCTGGGTCAGCCCTGAGAGTAGAAAAGAAACAGGCCTGGCTCCTTGTCCATGTCATGGGCAGTAAACACTACAACATTCACCAAGGAAAAGCTGCTTGCAGGATGGGCAGATCTCCGATGCTGGCTGGACCCCAGAGTCAAGCCTCATTCCTATGCTACCTCATAGCTCTGCAGGTCAGATTCATACCCAGTTCTTACCATCTCCTTGGCCATGGGCTTTGATGAATAGTTTCACTGCCCCCGATAATTTATCTTTCCCAGCTGGATTTTTGCATTTGTTTAGTTTCTACACCCTCCTACCCTACAATCCTCCCCAGAATGGAATCAGAGAAATTATCAGTGCTCCCTACCATTCTAGCTAGCTGTGTGGAGTCAAGCACTGTCATATGCTATGTCCCCCAGCATCAGATACAAGAGGCAACTAACAGTGCATCAGACATCCAGTTATCAAAGTGTGAGCAAGAGGGGAGTGGAAGGTGGCATTGATGAATGACTGCAGCAGCCCAGTATTATTCAAATGATTCTGCACGTACTCTACAGGCCTGCTTGGCCAAGCCAGAGCAAAGAACCAATTTGCTACTGATGACTTCAGAAATGATTCTATTTATCAACAAAACTGTGGGAACATCAGACTGTCAATAGCAGTCTAAGCTCAAACATGGGGCTGAGAGATAGTCCCTAGATATCTGCCACTGACATCAGCAAGGTGAGAAATTGCTCAGATTGAGAACGCCAAAACCTCTTTCTTTCCAGAAAAGGAAAGACGGGAACAGGGGAAGAGACATGTGAAAGAAGAGGAAAGGGTGGGGGAAAGGAGAGAAGAATAGAGGGAGGGACTTATTTCTTTTATTTTTGTATAATATTTTATGTTGTGTGTATGTATGTGTGCTTCTGGGTCTGTTGTGTGTGTATAGTATGTATATGTGTGTCTTGTGTGTACAGTGTGTGTGTGTGTGTGTGTGTGTGTGTGTGTGTGTGTGAATATCTGTGTGTCTACATGTCTGTGCACAGAGGTCAAAGTACAACTTGACAAACATGGTTCTCCCCTACCATGTGGGTCCTGGGGATTGAACTCAGATCATTAAACTTTGCAGCAATTGCCTTTACCTGCTGAGCCATCCGCTGGTGCAGAATCATTTTTAAATTTGAAATTCACCTCCAGGACTGTTGCTCAAATCTTATGCTACAGATGATAAAATTAAGGGACTGTAAATGGAGAAACTTGTACAAAACTGCATACAGCAGGAGAAATGGAGACAGAATTATAAATCGTAAGCCAACTATCATTTTTCCAGGAGGATGGTAGTCAATTAAGAATGATTTGGCAGTTCCTGGAGGTACTTTTGGTTCATGAATGAGGGGCAAAGTGACGGATGCTGTGGGTGAACAATGAGTAGAAATCAGGGATGCTGCTAAGTGTCCCCTGATACCCAAGAAACCCTACTCACAAAAGAAATATCCAGTCAATATTAAAACAATGCGAAAGTTTAAAACACCTATCACAAAAAAAAGTCAGTCAACAAACTATGTTGTTCAGTTCAACAAAGAGCCATATCCACTCATTCATGTTTTATGGGTGACAGGATTTTGTCATAACAGAGTCATTAAAACAAAGAAGAAGTGGCTCAGCAAGTGTAAGATAATTACTATGTGAACTTTGAACAGAAAAGTTTGCTGACCTTCCTTTCACAGGTCATTGTGGGATAGGAAACAGGAACGTCAGTACTATGGGAGCAAAGCTGCACACATTGCAAAGCAGGGAGTCTGATTCACACAGGCATGAGTGAGGATGCGCAGGGCTACATCCCTGTGCAGAATGCACAGGGAATAGGAAAACCAATTTATGAAAACAGACGAGGTCTAGCAAAAAGTTCCCTAAAACATCATTCTATGCACGTATTAAATGCACCATCCCTAAACACAAATCTGTCAGGTTCATCCAGATAGACTATTTGAATCATAATCAATAGGCTTGACTTTACAAAGAGACCATGTACTAGATGGATCAAGATGAAAATGACATTTGGAAAATTAACAGTATCTATGCTTTCCAGACATCATTATCATTGTGGTGACAATCCTGGAGTAAGTTCAGTAAACATAAGGAAGTGGTCCTTTCTTCTGCATAGTGTCATCATGAATATTATTGCAACCAAGGGCATGTTTACCTACTTCCTTCACAGCTTCCACATCTGAGTCTTTGTCCATCTCTTCATCACCGTCATCATCAAAATCTTCTGGATGGGGAAAAACAAGGTGAAAGAATGAGCATGCTTATTATCTGGTATTTACTCTCTCATATACCATGGCTTGCATTTCTTGTAAATGGGAAACTCGTTGCTAAGCAAGAGCACTGTACCCCAGCACACTCAGATGCTCAGTGATTTGTGTACATGCTGTGCACTTAAGCATATGGGAGGAAGGTGCCATGATGCCTAAACTGTTGCTCCATAGGAATCTGGAAAGAAATAACACATGAATGACAGTAGGGCTTCCCTACCACTCATTTCTGAGTATTGGTGCAACTGACACTATCAACATTCACAGACCACATATACTCTAAATCCATTGTCATTTAGATAGTGCCTTGATCAGGTCCCTAATTTTAAAACAGAGGAATTTATTTAAGAGTTACCCACTAACTTCAGAAAGGATCAGATGCCACATGATAAAATTCCAACTGTGGAAAATCTATTCCCTGAAGGAAGATAAGACTTAAAAAAAACAAACAAACAAACACTAGAATCTTTGACTTTAAGGTCTTCCTGAAGGTTGAATCATGACACTTTCAGATATAAAATGTGTTTCACTGAGCTTTACACAGTGAAAGTTTTATTTCAGTTTTTTCCAAACAACAAATTAATTCCACCAATAGACAGTACAGCAAAGAGGTTGGGTCACAAAATTGGTGAAAAGATTATTTTTCTTAATTAGATGAGATGACGGTACAGGCATTCGGTAGCCACCAGGCAACGTGGCAACAGCTAATAATTAGGGACAATGTGAGAGAGCTTGATGCTTATTCTCCCTGTTTATGAGAAATCTACTCTTTCATACATGTCTCTAATGAGCTTATGAAAAGATCACGGTTGACCTGTACAATGACTGTTTCTGTTTTAATCCCCATCTCTCTGACATGCTGTAGAATGCAAACACTCATCTTAAAGCTGAGCTACCTACTACTTTACCTTCAGTTAGATGGTGTGGAAGCTCAGGGCTGGTGCTTCCGGGGGCTGTGAAGGTGTAGGCACTGCTGACTGTGACCAGGGGAAGCCGACTCACAGGGTAACACTGCCTGAGGATCTGAATCACAGCAGAGATCACAAGTTCCATGTTCTTGTTCTCCAGGCAGGTCTGAGCAGAGAGAATATTATAACAGACCCTGTGTGTACCTCCCATGCTGGGACATTATTTCAAATAATGAAATGCACACAGCCTAAGTGGCCGGTAAACAGCCCTACTGCATGATGCTTAGTAGTTGGAGCATTCTAATGGAGAATGTTGTCTAGTCAGAATGTGCATTTTTATTTCTATTTTGCTGCTGTGATGAATTTAGTCTGAAAGCAGGTTTGAACTTATTTCAAGGGAGGCTGCACCTGAGACAAGTCCTTATCCAGGATGCCTGAGGAAAGAGGAGAGACATAATCCTTCAGGCACGCCTGAGTCACTGTGAATTATTGCCTCAGTTAGGGAATGAGTGGCTGAATTAATGGAAATCTTGCTTTTCTCTTTTGGCTATTATCTGAAAAGAAAGATATTAAGGAAAAAGGATAAACTAAGCAAGTTCCAGATGCCTAAATTAGCCAACTTGCTTGTCTCAACACCCACTGTGCAGATCCCGCTTGATATTTACCCAAAGCAAAGGAAACTTGGTTTTGTAGATGTAACATTTTGATGGCAATGGAACATGACAATACCTGTCTTTGCAGACACTGTGAAAAATGTACAAACAAGTTTACTAAATTGAGACAGAGTCGATGTAGTTCTGTAACTCTTTGGCCAAAACACTGTTTTCTCCAGTAGCTTAGAAAATGTGTTGTGCACTGAACTTGGTGTAGAAATGTGTTCAGGATGAGCCTCCAGTCTGAGAGTGTTAAAGAGTACAGAACCTTCTTAGTCCAAGGAGCCATAGAAGTTAGCTGGTGAGCATCCTCCATAAGGCCTCCATTATGGTGCTGTCCTACTGTGGTACACACACACACACATCTACACACACATGTGTGCACACAAGCATGCACAAGAATTATCAATGATTCTAATTCTTTGGATACTGCCCAGAGTTAGTTCCCTTGCCTAGAATGTGCAAAGCCTGCATTCAGTCCCAGCCAGCCCTGCAAACACAAAAGGCAGACTGTAAAATATAAGTGAGGCAACTTTCAAAACAGAAATGTCTTAATGCAATCAAGAATGCCACTTTCCTTTTAGTGTCCTCAAATGGTACCAATCAAGTGTCTTTGAGGACACAGCAGGAAACACTCCCAGTGGAAAATGAGTTAGTTGAAGATATTTCATCCATTTGGCCTGGTCAAATGGCCCCAAGTGTTTGTTGTAAAGTTATTAGTATTGGAAAAAGAGGAAATGGAGTGTGGAAGAGAAAGAAGAAAGGTAGATAGATGCAGATTGGAGATGACGGTCTGAGCTTCAGCCTTAGGAAAGCCAGAGCTAAGTCCTAACCAAGAACATCCAAATTGCCAACACTTGAGAACTCAGCTCTATCTGTAATGGCCATTGACACAGCCACTGACGATGATTGATGGTAACTGCTTTTTCGCTTTGTGTGAGATGGTCCAGGAGAGTAGGAGGAGAGAAGCAAGCGCATGTGGCTCATGCACTGAGCATGACACACAGGGGTTTCAAGGAGGAGTATTAAAATGTACCAAGACCAGGGCATTAACAATAATGCCATATTGGGTAGCTTCTAATCAGAGGGAAATGATTGTGAATTTAAAAACGGATTATTGATTCCAAGGAAATAAAAATTTCTAGATTCACATACACCATGTCCCTTGATAATGGGCCAGGGAGTAGGCCGGAAGGCAATGTCAGAAGACATCATTAGGTTAAAAAGTAAACTTGGTAAAAAGTCCCTGTAGGAGAACATTTTAGTTTAAAGTTTGAAAGCTAAGTGGGGCATAGGCACGTGTGTAGAACCCAATCCACAGAAGTTTCCACCCACCTAGTATGCACATGTTTCCATGTGGCAGGCTTAGCACAACATGACAAATTTATGCAGCATTGTCCCATAACCCTTCCTGGGCTATTTTTTCATATAATACCAATCAGACATTACAACGTGGGCTGGATAAACCTCACTGTATATTCTGCCTACACTCACACCTAACTCCCTTTTACAAAAGCAACTGGAAGCTGGGACCTTGTTGGTTGCTTTATGGAGGGATTAAAGACATTATTGACCAGTCAAGGAACGGCTTCCAAAGCTCTACATATGTATTTGCAGCCCCTGACTTACGCGAGCCATCATTTGCTGTAATACAATTTTTCACTGTCTCTCTCTGCAATATACAACTGTAAAAGTCACCATCTTTTCCCTCTACCAACCTTTTAGATATTTTTAGTACAGAAGGGAGAAACAGCCAATAATATAGAAGACAGCCTGGGTGAGCATGCCACCCAGAATGGCCCCAGCTATCAAGGGGGAAATTTCACAAGGACTGAGTGAGATTAGTGACTTGGGGGATCATGAGATTACAGAGCACAAGGAAGCCTGGAAAAATTGAAAGCATGGCTTGATCCAGAAAAGGCAGAATGCAAATGCAGCTATTTCCTGACTGAGAAGCTCTGAACTCAGTAGTGACAGAGAAAAACCCAGAAGTGAGAGCAGACAGAAAATTAGATACTGGTTTGCAGCATGGGATCCTGTTAGTGTTTAGAGGAGCATGCTATTTTTAAAAAGAATAGGAAACATCTAGTGACTCGATGAGAGGAGACTAGCGCTCTCGTCGGCTGCTTCATTGCCCCTGCATGTACTTGTGTAGAGTAAATTTGGAAGGTTTCCAGAGAAGAGCAACAGGCACCAGAGACTAGCAACTGGGAAGATAACAGGGAACATAAGGCATCTGAAAGAGAGCAGGCAATGGGTATCTGGGATGCTCATGTACCAGTGGGATGGTATTTAAATCAGTCCTAGTCAAGTGTAAGTGAGGAGGGTGTTTCTTGAGTTGGAACCCAGATAACCTCATACTACATACCCCACTTGGTGTAGATACATGCCAACCAAGGGAGTCACTATTCCCTATGCCTGGGACATTTTTCCCCTTAAACTTGGTAGGATTTAATGTTTCTAAATGATCTTCTCCCTCCCCCTATAGGTGTCATTCTTACTTCGTTGGTCTCACAGACCACCTGAAACATGTTTCTCATTGGGCGGTTCATTTATTTAATGCCTCCCTTCTTCTAGGATGTGTGTCCCATAAGATCAGAAGTCTAATTTGCCATGTTCCTCACAGATTCCCAGTAATATTTAGTCCAGTAATGATTCACACTCAAAAGAAGATAAAGAAACTATTAAAATGCAGTATGTCGTTGCCTGAACACATGAATCATGTAAATTTAGTGTATAAGAAAAATCTAAATGTTTCTATTCCACTTCATTTTAGTGTATATATGTGTGTGTCTCTTTTCTTTCTTTTGTTGTTAGTATTGTTTGAAACAGCGTTTCTCCGTGTAGCCTTAGCTGTCCTGGAACTGACTCTGAAGATCAAGCTAGCCTACAAACTCAGAGATCTGCCTGCCTTGGCCTCTTGAGTGTTGTGCTTAAAGGTATGTGCCACCATGCCAGGTCACAAGTTTCGTTTATAAAGGGAAAAAAAAGCAAATTTGATGGTTTACAAAGTAGGATGGTAGTTTAAAAGTTTCACAGCTTTAGGCTGGGATCTCTTATTCTGGAGCCCATACACAATCACTATGCTATTTGTCATTTCTAGTAGCATGCAGACAATAAGTATATAATGATTGAATGAGTGAGTGAATGAATGATTGAATAAACACTGCTTGAATGAGAATAAGAATGAGTGAAGGAATAGGGATTTGAATCCGGAACACCTGTCATATTGAAACAAGAATGATGTTGAAGTTGTTTTTCTGATGCCCCTGCTCTGTTCAGGACAATTTTCAAGTCTCGGAGGATCACCCAGAAGCTATCCACCTGCTGTGGAAATCCCCATGCTGGTTACCTGTGCAATGTTGAAGAAAGTCTCCATGCCTTGGGCTGCCAGGAAGGCCTCCCTGCCAGACCGGAGGGCGACGATGTGCCTGAGGCAGAGCAGAAGCCCATGGCGGATGATCAGGTAAGTATTGGTCACATCACGGCTGTGCCAGTCCTGATGCAGCCTGAGCAAGCTGTTGACATAGCCTCTGTTCACTGCCCTGCGGCTGTTAGACTCTGGAGACAAAGGGAAAAGGTCATGTCAATCACAGCTCCTCAGGAAACAGTTGCGGGAGAATGCCACAATGTGTCTCCCACATAATACTTACCATGGCAATAATAACTTTTCAGCATATAAAACTGGCAGGTGTTATTTATACCAAATGATCAAAATCAACATTTGCAGTAATAGGACATGGGGTTGTAACAAGCCTCCTTATATGACGACCTGAGAAGGACACAGCATCATTTCTATAGTCTCCTGCCAGAACACATGACCTTAATCTAAGCATTAGGAAAGTCAGCAAACTCATAGTGAGGCAAATGCTACAAGACATGTGACCTATATTGTTCACAAATGTCAAGATCATAAAATGAGAAGAAAAAAACAGACTTGGAATGGCAACGACAGAAAAAGACTAAGAAGAAGTGACACCTAAGAATAATATGTAATTATAATTCAAATAATAGGCCATTTTTTTCCTTTTGCTAGAAAAACATCATCAGTGAAGCAGGGGTTAAAATTTGGGGAAGGTTTGTAGATCACTTCATAATATTGTGTCAATGTTTATGCTATAAGCTATTTCTTTCTGACTGAAACACTTCCTCTCCCTCCTGGAGGGAGGCCCATAAGACTCAAAGTTCTTGAAACTCACAAGATTCACAAGACCCTTTCCCAAAGCCATGAACCAGTAAGTAACTCTAGTGATGGAGGAGATTCTACGGGAGCCGCTGCCTGCAAGTTCTGAAGGGAACGGCTGTAATTTTCATGAGTCACTGCTCATACCACTTGATGCAGCTGTCTGAGTCACCCACATCCCAGTAACTAACCTTTCACCATGTTCCTATGAAGTAACCACAAAAGCATTCGTTGTCTCACTAAGCTAGACTTAAATAGAATCTTGTCTTTGGTCTGTCATCAGTACCCTTTTCTGTGATGAATGTATGTTTATTCATGTCTCCACAGGGAAAGTCACATAACACAATTGGCACCGGAAGACTGCTTGACAGAGCCATAGATAATACCGAAGGAAGCTGTTGAACGGATCGTGCTATTGGCATTAAGATATGCAACTGAGGCTGACATTTCTGAGGGTGGGACATGCATGGGGACAGTCCCAATGCAGTGTGGCTTTTCACTATGGTGGCTGCTGTGTGGTCCCTGCTATGGACTGATAAAACATGTAAGTGGTGCTAAGTCATCTGAGGGGCAAGTGCCCTTTGAGGAAAGCACAAGATAGTTGTCTTCCTTTGGGTGATACAAGATGGTTCACCTTGAGTCAGGCACGGGTTTGAAGATGCACCCAGATGCCTGCTAGAGCAGAGATGATACTTCAATACTGAAGGAACTCCAAACAGGGCTGTGGTAGCATCAGTGGATGATATGACATATAACCACATCTGAACTTTCTGCCTGCAGTGAACTACATTCATGTAATAGGGGAGTTACAATGGGAGAAAGGCATGTAGATCTACCCGCAGCACCATTACGAAGAGTGGAAAAAGCTAAGATGAGATTGGGGTGTTTGCTTGCCATTTATTATAGCTGATGGGGCACAAGAGAGAGAAGTACACGTTAGATCTTGCCAATGAGCTCGTCCTGCCATTCCCAAACATGGAATCCATGGGAAGAATCAGACAGCAAGAAGAAAAAGAGTGAGGTCAAAGAGATAGAGGGTACTATTTCAGTCCAACAGTTGATACATAAAAAACAGGATCCTTGACTATGCATGCAGATGAGGGCTTTAATAGTGGAAGCTTCCATAATCAGGAAACATTCTATCTCTGTACTGCTGGAATTAGGAAATAACTTTAAACAAGCAATGGACTAGTCCCCCACAGCTGTGCTTGTGATGCTGAGAGACATGGATGCAGACAGATCAGGCTGAGTACTAAGCAGAGTAACTGAGTTATGTAACTACCCATCTCTCCTAGAGACAAAGACTTCATATGCATTGATACAAGGGTCCCCCATGGACAGGCTCATACACACCATTAGGGAGACTGGCTATTACTGAGTGAAGTCCTCATGAATACCAACAATAGGAAGAGAGGATGGACAGATGTTACTAAAGGAATTAGGTGACAGGTTCTGTCTGGTGCCAATTTCACTGGACCAGACAACTTTGTGTTTACTAAAGAGTTAAAAAGGAAGTTAATTCAGCAAGGACCTCAAGACTAGTTTGGAGCCTTAGTGGTTCTGCAAAGCCCCACAGTAAGGCACATTTAAGGTAGAAAGGACTCTGACAAATCTTCATGCTTCAGCCCGGCATGTAAGTCAAGTTCATGAGGCTCATGCCACATATTTCACCGCGTAAGGAGGAATACATGTGAGAGTTGTTTCCCCATGATGGGTCCTTTCAGCAGCCAGGAGTGGCTGAGAAAGAAGCAATGGGCGCTGGCCTGGAGCCTGTCAGACCCAGGAAGCCAGCTTTCAAATTGCCTTCTAAATGCCCATAGATCATCGCTGCTGTCAGCCTCGGTTATGGAGAGAAGTGTCCCTTTCCTTTGCAACAGGCAGTGCTTACTTCAGAGACTCATAACCTGTTACGCTGCTGAGAATAAGTGACTGTTACTATGACATAGTAGTTCAATGGTTCTGCAAATGGAAGAAAATAAGCAGAAATCCACAGCACCTCCTCCAAGGATGGAGAACATCTCTTCTCCAGGGCCAGGAAGCTCACAAAGCTTACAAGATTGACAAGATACCCATCTCTAAAGTTAAACAGTCAATAGTTGTGGACCAAAGACTGTTTAGTAGAGCACCTGCTTATAGGCTGGGCAGGGGTGCCAGCCATGCTGGTCTGTGAGTCATGACCCACGCAGGGGATGCAGTGTTTGAGTGATGTAGCCGCCTGAGTTTCTTTTGTTCTTTTAAGTAACCCATTATTCAAGCTCCTGTAAGTCACATCCCAAAATTAATTGGTTCCCCAAGATAGACTTTCTATAGAATCAATTCTTGAGTCTGTCATTCCCTATCTGAGAGGAACAGACATTTGTTTGTAACTCCCCAGGAAAAGTTACACAACCGTTTATTTTTAGATTTTGTTAAATAGAGGTTATATAAGAAAATCTCCTACTTTTTAATAAATTCACAGTTGGGAAATGTTGAGTGTCTGTAAATTATTCTCAGAGAGAAAAAAGAAAATAATGTTAGGTTGGGAAGAGAGAGAGGTGGGGGAAGGGCAGAAAGAAAAAGAGTGAAGACACAAATGATGGAAGAAAGAAGGAAAGGAGGGGACATCATCATATTTCCATTCTTCTCTGTATGTCTTCAAAGCTGAGTAGAGAAAAGAATCAAGTGAGCAAGACACCATACTTCAAAGGTTATTATGTGTAAGAGACACGCTATGTGCTTTTCCCACAGTAGAGAAGCCAGTTAATGGACAGTCACAGTGTCACATGTTTGTATGGTTATAATGTCAACATTTGCTTCCTTTGACCTGGTGAAACCTTTCCCTCTCCAGGTGTGATTCCAACATGATATATTATTTGTTCCTCAACTCATGGGTGCTAAAGCAGCACTTCATTCTACAGCCAGCCAGATCAAATGGACTGCATCAAAGTCATACATGTAAATCCTCCTCGTGCAATACTCCTTTGAAGCAGTCAGTCAACAACCTCTGTGAGCAAGCCCTTAAATGGACCACAACCTTTAGTTAAGGTTGGTCCCTTCACATCCTCTCTTCCCATCATACACTGAACTCTGAACTCCCCGACACATCCAAATTCCTTCTCAGGACCAATGGTTCATCCCTCTTCTCTCTGGATCTCAAACTAATAACCATTTCTGTAACAACATAACAACTTGTATTAGGTTCTTTTGGGGCACAACAAACCAAACCTCACCCTGGTCAGCACTGTCCTCATGAATGGCTCTCTGAGCTTATGGCTCCTCTTGAGAGAAGGGCTGTAAGACCACACTATGAAGAAATTAAAGCAGAAGGCAGGGCTCAGAACAGGAAGAGAACTCCTCACAAAAAGACTATTAAATACCAGTGTGGGCTGTGGGAAGAGAGCAAGATACACTGCTGGTGTTCAGGCCAAGACAGATTGAAGGGTTACTCTGTGAGGTTTCCCAATAGCTGATAGAGATTTAAGAGTTCTGCCTTCCCCTACTCCACACCATGATTTCTCTGTCCCAGTTTTCCTGGTTACATCCACCGAGTCTATTATATGGAGCTATTTATCAAGATACCTTACCAATTGTCTCTGAAGAAACACAAGGCCAAGAATAGCTCCATGATACCTCTGTCAACAGTTAGTCTACACTATTTTTCAAATTAACTTCCCTGCACTATGGGGTGAATGAATGAGTGTGGCGGTATCGACCCAACTCGAGGCTGTGGTCTTTGAGCTCCTATAAATGAGGCACACTGTGGAGTTTTAGATGGCTGACTCTGTGACTGCCACAGATGTTCAAATCTTGAGGCTGCATGGCTCAGTTATAGTCATACTGGTTTGGGAGACAATATGTGCTTCTAGCCTAATGTGTGTGAGGAAGCTCCCCTGAGCTATAGTCAGAAGAGCGGGATTACAACCCCAAGGATTTTTTTACCACAAGACCGTGTAAGTGCGCACGAGTATTTAAAAAAAAAAGGGGGGGGGCATGGAAATTTAATGCCATATTCCATAGAGGTTTTCCTCGTAATATCAAAAAACCTTTTATTTGCTTATTTATAACATTTTAAATTGCAGGGCTTCACTTAGCACCCCTGAGAATTTTGACCCATGTGAGGAGTTGATTTTATTTTGTCTTTTCTTTTTATAAAATTCTGTGCAGCCATGATCCTGAATTGAGAGTGATGAAACTCATGCCCAGTGATATGTTTGTGAAAGGCTTAAAGCTCTTCTGAAGCTTTCTTTAAGGGATTATTCCTTGGTAACAAAAGTAAATCTTGCCTTGACTGGTTTTGGCTATAGAGTCCTTAGCTGCCTGAATAGGGTTCCAGTCTACCTTTTATCCACTGTTTAAAAGAAAATTGGGAACTAACCAGGAGGCATTAAAGGCCAGTATT